GAACAAATAACAAAACCCAGTACAAAATTCTAATAAACTCTTCCATCGTCTTGAAATTTTACTTCTTTGTGACACTGGGGACGATCATTTCGGAAAAGTAAAGTCAATTCTTGGTCCGAAAAATATAGTAACGTACCGCCAACACTGTTATGGTTTGAGCAGCCACCAACGACACGAGCGAGTATAGGACAAGACATTGAAGGAGAAACAGCTCGAGGACCAGAGAGAGCGATAGAGACACAAACAGTGGAGGTGGTGCCGCCGTCAATTCCAAGTATAACATCATCTCCGCCAAGAATCTCGTGCTCAAAATCCCAGAGCTCGCCGTTCCTGCACCTCTTCATCTCTGCTACAGCCGCCTCGATCAAGAGCAACACAGTGACAAAACGGATCAAATTTTGAACAATACGAGCGAAATGGGCTCTCGCAGTCAAACGATCGAGCCTTCATGATCATATATACAGAATATTCAGATTAAATTACAGAATGAGATAGCGAGAGCGAGGGAGAAGGACGAACACGAAGCGACAAAGAGGAGCGGACAGAAATTTGAAGCTAGAACTGAAACTGTAAATAGTTTTCGATAAAGAAAGAAATTGATGATGATTATGGACAAAATCTTGTTAGGTACTGATTCGGGCGGCAAAAGAGCCATCTGCTAAAGTTTTTGAAGGACAGACATTTGGTTGGATTGGAGGAGGAATATTAAAACAATTTCGAGGGGAAATTTTGTAACATTCATGTTGGCATTTTACTAATTTTGCAATTTCTTTTTCCTTTTTTCAGTTCAACAAAAAGGTAAATGACATATTACATATCACAATTATTCTTAAGCTAATCTGATCGTTTTTTCAAATTTTAATTTAGCATCAAATATTTTTAGATGCATAGTTCTATTGGTTAGATTTTATATCTATTTTGTCGTAGAGTGATTTTCCTCTGGTCTTCTATGTTAATAGTTTTTTATAGGATCTCGAAGTTCTATAACTACTGCTTCATATTTTTTTCCAATTAAATAAAAATGAAGCTCATCTTTGAGTTTAAGTGGTTGTTCTTGGTCGAATATCAAATATTGTTCCAATTTGGTCCATAGATCTTTGTGGAAAATTTACGCCGACCAAAAGGATGTGAGTTTGAATCACAACTCCCACTTATTAGACTAAACAAAAATCATGTTTAAGTCTTTTAATTTTAAATCAAGTAAACATGAGCATATCCCAATATATGATGATCAAATAGTCGTTTTTTTTTTACTATTTAAACTAAATGATAGCCTCATCCTGTTTTTTTAAAATAAATAAATAGTTTCATCTTAGGGAGAAAATTTTATTAAGGGCAAACATGTCCATAATTAACTCCACATCTATTTAAACAAAAAAAAAACAATTTTACCATTTATTATAATTGTGATCACATTTAAAGTTTAAAATTAAAATTCACCCCAATCAATTGAAGTAAAATTTTCCTAAAAGGATTTTAAATTGGTATTGATGCACATAAATAATTAATAATATTATTAATTTATACTTACTTCAACAATTAAAAGTATATATTCTCGATCATAAGGTCATTTTGAATTTCCACACCACCTCACCTATGGTACAAAATAATAATAATAATAATTATTATACTAATTAATAATTAATTGCTACTACTACGCCAATACATCCTTAGTTATTTTTGTGATTGTTGGATTTTTAAATATTTTCTAAAAATAACTTATTGAAATACCAATAATGTTAGAATAAGATTGATTTTGTTTTTTTTAGAATAACATCGAAATTGAATCATTTTTGGAAAATGTCGGTCAACTTTAGTTGTGTGCCGTTTAGAGTAAATATTTTTATAAGTTGTTTCTATTATTCGCCTGTTTACTTCCACGTTCTCGGTGTATTTTGTGTTTTTTAATATAATATTCGGATACATACAATTAAAAGGGCACAAAAAATAAAATAAAATAAACCATGCCCATTTTCATTTGTATATTCAAATTAATAGAAGAAAATAACTTGAAGTATTTAACTAAATTTAATCTGATTCAGTTACACGACATATCAAATACTGTCTTACTTGGGTCATTTGAAAAAAAAAAAGGTGTGACATAATCACACTTTATTTATTAAAAACATCGAGATCCCATTATTGTGTTGAGTTATGCTCCAATGGTACTAAAAAAATTAAATAATTGTTTTGAAAATTATGTAAAGGGCACGACACAATATAAAATATATATATATATATATATATATATATATATATATATATATCTTCTTTTTAAGTCATCCAATTTTCATAGACTTTTGGATAACGACTAATTTTTTGCGAGCCATTCCCAATCCTTAAATTATCCCAAAGAATCCCTCGAGAAGAATCTTCGTTTGAAAAGGAAAATTGTTAAATTTATTGGAAAGTCATAGTTTGAGAGCAAGAGACAGGTGTGAGAATAAGAGCCGAGAGGGAGGAAAGAAAAATTTTGAGGATAAGGGACAATATGTCTTCCACCCCGCCATGCGAAGAGCCAAAACGATTTTCATTGCCCTCCGTTTAGGGCAAGTCGTCCTCGTCCAACTGAAAAAGTAATATCCTAATTTTAAAGTAATATATGTATTGTCTTATTTTGTTTAGTTGTCTACTACATTCTTTCATTTATTTGTCATATAATGTTAAACGATGATACATTTATTTAATAGAGACGATATATTATTGTTTAGTTAACAGTATTAGTGACAATGTATATAGAATCACACCTCAAAATGCAAATATGTCATTAAAATTTATCAAAGTTTAACGACTAAATGGACATAAACATCAAATTTATGAACTAAAATTACATTTTAACCTAATTGTGACACATCATCGCGTGGTTGGATCCATCCATGCGAAATACATGCAATTAGTTTGTATAAGTTCTGAAATAGATATTAAAGAGAGAATTACAAAAAATAGCAAAAAAATATGTATTTATATATAATATTAGATTTAAAATTTTAGAAAAATGATGTAAATTAAAAATTTATATAATCCACCCAAAGTTATTTTTGTTGAAATTTTTTAAATACAAAATAATGATATTTTTATAAATTCATATTTATTTTATGTCATTTAATATAATTTTAAAATATATTCAGATAGCTTGATGAGATGTTAAGGCATATGTCATTTTTTATTCCACTTTAAATTATATTTTGACCATTCAAATTTGGGTCTTTTTGGCCGTAAAGCAACGATAATTGACATATATCTCAAATAAAAAAGTTGTAAGTTCGATCATGTCCTACATGTTGGTTTTTTTTTTCTTTCTTTATTTCCTTTTGGAGGCTTGATGATTGGTTTTGGGCTAAAAATTCAATGGCTAATTTCGTAATATTTTTTCATTTTTTATTTTTCGTTTATTTGTATGGTTCTTTGTTTACTCTTTTTTGGTAATAAATAGGTTAATTGTCAATTATTATTTTCTTATTAAAAAGAGTAGAAATATGTTTGGTAATTATTTATCGTTTTTTATTTTCTAAAAATTAAATATTAGAAAAAGTAATAATCATTCATTTTATAATTAAAAATTATAAAATAATACTTCTATATTCAAAAAACTGATAATATAAAAAAAACTTATTATGTCCCTTCTAAAATTTCTATCCAACGAAACAAATAAAATAGTTATTATATATTTATATTTTTAAACCACCTAAAAACTAAAAACATTAAATGAAAATCTAAGGGCCGATAACTATTTTAGTTTTTTGTTTTTTGTTTTTCTTTGTTTTTAGTTTTTGGTTTTTGGTTTTTGGTTTTTGGTTTTTGGTTTTCTATTTTTAAAAAACAAAAACCTTTGATAAGCATTATTTGTTTTTTGTTTTTAAAAAACAAAAAAGCAAAACATGTAACCATTTTTAGTCTTTGTTAAAATTCTATGTAGAGTAGAGTCAACAATGGTGTGGGTGCGAGTAAGGATGCTCCCACTCATTCTCAAACTTGTGAAAATTTTTAGTCTCCGTCTCCACCTCATTCTTGGGTTCAAGAGATGTTCTCGACAAAAATTATCGGTTTTATAATTGTTTTTAATTATTTTTAGAATTCAAATATAAAAAAGTGTAATAAATATATATTAATTATTTAAAAAAAGGAATCGGGGACGGGGAGAGGGTCGGGACATGCATTTTCTATTTTTGGGACCCAACCCTACGGAAATTTTTGTGTTCTCCTAATTTAGAGACATGAAAATAGAGATGTAAATAAACTTTTGGAAGATAAATTTTGGAGAGATTAATAAAAATATTTAGAAAAAAATAGTTAAAGAAAACTTAAAGACGGAAAGAGAAAAATTTTGGAGAAAAAAATAAAGTTGAGAGGAAAATTTATGTTAAAGAAAAAAAATAAATTATAAAGAAAGAAAAATTTTATAGTGGAAAGATAAAAACAAGATTCAAAATATAATTTTTATAAAAAATAAATAAATACACAGATAAATAAAAATTACAGTGAAAGAAAATTGAATGAGAAAATAAAATATAATTTTTAGAGGAAAAAATAAATTAGAGAAAAAACTTAGGAAAAAATTTAAATTTTTAGCGAGAGAAATGAAATTGGTATGTTAGTAAAAAAACAAAAATACAAAAAAAATTTGGAGCGAGACAAATAACAATAAATATTAAAAATATGAAAATTTTGGAGAGATAAAAATAAAGTTTGTAGAGAGATATTTAGAAATAAAAAAATTTTAGAATAAAAAATAAATTTTTTAGAGATAAATATGAGAAAGAAAAAAAAAGTTGAGGAGTAGAAGAAAAAAATGAGATTTTGAAAAAAAAAAACCTGTTTTTGAAAACAATTTTTTTTAATTTACATAAAATTTCAAAATAGTTTTTGAAAAAAAAGAGAAAAATGAAATAGTTACATAGAATATTGATTGAAATTAGTATTAATTCCTGAAGTAAATTGTCAACTTGGAACTTGGACATAGTTGAATGAGTTAAGTTATCTATCTCATATCAAATTGTCCAATTCTAAATTTATTGGATTAAAAACTTCTTAAAAGTGCCAATAAAACCAAATCCAACCTTTGACGCATATCTAATAAGTTCCAACAGACCTCACATCTTATACTAAAAAAAAAAAAAAGTGTAATTTACCAATATTTTTATTTTTTCATGAGAAATGTGCGAATAAAATTATATTTGTTGCCCTAAATATGGAAGCCTGCATCTCCTCGGAGTGTGAATGTCCTAAAACCCATCACTCTGCGAAATATCTTAAACCCTAGCCAACACTATCACGAATCATTCATCTTCATTTCTTTGAGCAACTCTGTTGGATTCGTGCTCAAAGACGATGATGAGTGCACTTATTCTACGGAGATCCGCCGCCTTAGCGATCTCCAGAGGTAGAGTTAACGCCACCTTGTTATCCCCAATCGCGAACTTGTTGGCTTCTCCTGTGGATGTTAATGGCGGCGTTGTATCTGCTGCTGAGTTTGGGCAGTTCTCTAGTGCTGTGGTGATGAAGAGGCCTCTAGGTTTTGGTTCCCGACCGAAGGAATTTCATGTGGCTTCTGGGCCGTTGAATTTCAGGGCGTCGTTGGTTTCTCAGGCGGAGTTTGCGGTGGAAGAGTATGACGATGCTAGCAGTAGTAGAAGCGGCGATGAAGGACTCGAGATTAGCAAGCTTGGGATCGCGCCGGAAATCGTCTCTGCTTTGGCGAAAAAGGGTATAACTAAGCTATTCCCTATTCAGGTACCGACTCTCATTTCTTTCGTACTTTCAAGTTTCTGCTGCTGAGGTTAGACAACATGGGCAAAATCACGGAGGGAATTTTTAAAATTAGTTTCGTCGACGATTTTGATCCCTTCTTCAGACGACAACTTTGTTTCTCCACCCACTCTCATCCCAGCTTAGGTGTTGAATTACCGTGATGAAGTTACGGTTTTATTTATTACGAAGAATTTCATTTGTTCTGAGAGCTGGGGGCCATTTTCATTTGATTCGAGACTTTTTGGCCGTACGTGATAACTGTGTCTCGAAATGTGCATATCGTTACCATTCCTCTGTTGAGTAATGCATTTTACATGCTTAGACTTAGATTTCTCATAGTTCCGTTTGGTTATGTTTCGATAATCGTGTTTCATTTTCCAATGGAGTTTGAAAATGTGCTGTTTTCTCAATTTTCTTTTCAGAAAGCTGTGCTAGAACCAGCAATGCAAGGCCGTGACATGATAGGTCGTGCTAGAACTGGAACAGGAAAAACTCTTGCCTTTGGGATTCCCATCTTGGACAAAATCATTCAATTCAATGCAAAACACGGGTTCGTTTTTTTGATCTTGGTTAATTTTCATCCTACTAGATCTAGTACCTGCTGAATTATTCTGCTGGGAAGGGTTCTGGATGGTTATTCTTTAAATTAAAAAAACATAATCTGTTAGAAATTATGCAGAAGAGGAAGGAATCCATTGGCGCTAGTTCTAGCTCCAACAAGGGAACTTGCTCGACAGGTTGAGAAAGAATTTCAAGAGGCTGCACCTAGCCTGGACACAATATGTGTTTATGGGGGGACACCAATTTCACGCCAAATGAGGCAGCTTGACTATGGCGTTGATATAGCTGTCGGAACACCTGGCCGCTTGATTGATCTCCTCAATAGGGGTTCTCTAAATCTATCAGAAGTCCAGTTTGTTGTTCTTGATGAAGCAGACCAGATGCTTCAAGTAGGCTTTCAAGAAGATGTTGAGAAGATTTTGGAGAGGTTGCCAAAGAAACGTCAGAGTATGATGTTCTCTGCGACAATGCCATCTTGGATCAGAAAACTCACTCAAAATTACTTAATCAATCCATTAACCATTGATCTCGTGAGTATGTTGACTATTTAATCTATTTTCTACTTCTTGAAATTTGAATTTTATCACTGAAAAACACCATCATCCAATTGGACAGGATTTTTGGAATAATGAAAAGTGCTCTTGAGTAATCAAAATTTCTATCCAATTTTTCCATGAACTTTTGTTGTAGTATTAAAATTTCATTTGTTATTATTTTTAAAGCATTTAAAAGCACCTGGGTACGGTTTTCCTAAAACTAATTATAAAAAGCATTTCCCAGGAAAAAAAAAGTTGCTTAAAAGTCATTGAGAGTTTACTCTTACCGAGCTTAAGCTGCTTGCTTGTTTTATTTTTGTTTTAGCCTTGTGAAATGTATGTATGAATAGGGGCAAGATCTCAGGAAGTGAAACAAAACCGTTTCTTTATAAGGAGAAAAAAAAAAAAAATTCTTTCCCTCTGTTGTATGGGCTAGTGTCTATGATGAGAATTTATTTATTGGGCTGCGACCATTTTGATTTATGTTTGGAGGCCTTTGTTTCATTAATACATGGGATTTGAGAGAGTATTTTTTTTTTCAACCAAAAGGAATGCAAAAAGGTGTGTGGAAAAGCTTGTCATGATTTAATTGACACATGGAATTTGAAAAAGCTTATCCATATTTCAGGTTGGAGATTCTGATCAGAAATTGGCAGATGGAATTAGCTTATTTTCAATTGTTGCAGACATGCATGGAAAAGCATCTATAATTGGGCCTCTGATAAAAGTAACGACAAATAACTTCTGTTTTTATTTTCTTCCTTTGATTTTCGTTAGGCAATATTTTACGTGGCACAGTTATTTCATGTTGTTGGCTGCTTTTTTTCATTATGCGGTTTCCAATGATTGTCTGTTTATTAGGAACATGCGAAAGGAGGGAAGTGTATTGTTTTCACTCAAACAAAACGTGATGCTGATAGATTAGCCTATGCAATGCCGAAGGACTTTAGGTGTGAAGCTTTGCATGGAGATATTTCACAGAGTCAGAGGGAAAGAACTCTTTCTGGTTTTAGAGATGGGCAGTTCAACATTTTAGTTGCAACTGATGTTGCAGCAAGAGGACTTGATATACCCAATGTTGATCTTGTAAGTGATAATCTTCCTCTAAATTTCTCTGTTTTATCTTGTTATGGTACAATACTACATAGATATTTTCTGGATGCGTGCTGTATCATCAAATACTTTCTTCTCAGTAATTTACCTAAACTAGAGCAGTGTAATAGTAGAATCAGACCCTATATTCTCTCCCTCTTGTGCTATTTGGGAGCCTGTGAGGGAGTGGCTTGAAGGGTCGGGGTGATGGAGTATTTTGTCTGCATGTGGTTTGGTCATTAAGATTCTTAGTAGATCCTTCTGACCTTAATTTTTAACTTAGGTAATACATTTTGAGCTTCCAAACAACGCAGAGATATTTGTCCATAGATCAGGCCGTACAGGTCGTGCTGGTAAGAAAGGTAGTGCTATTCTTATTTACTCACAGGATCAGTCAAGGGCAGTCAGAGTGATTGAGCGTGAAGTGGGATGCAGATTTACCGAGGTTAGGATCTCTCTCTCCAGCAATCAAACATTTGCAACTTCGGTTTTTATTTTCAAAATACAAAACTGGATCTTCCATCTGCGGTTCTGTATTTTCACTCATGACATATAGTAGTCTGCATAGTTGCTTGAATTCAGTCCTACCAATCGCTAAACTCTATAGGGTGCAATACAATTAGAAATTGGCCTCTCTAGTAGCTCCCATCTCAGGAATTTACCAATAAAATTAGTTCACCTTGAAGTATTTTACGTTTTTGTGCATGCTACTTGAAGTAAAATGGATATTGGTTGCTTTGTTCTTGATCATCAGCTTCCAAGGATCACTGTTGAGGGTGGTGCTCATGTAGATATGTTCAGCGACAGAGGTAATGGTAGTCAATTTGGCTCTTTTGGAGGATTCAGGGATCGTCGAATGAATGATACAGGTCGTTTTGGCGGCCAAAGAGGTCCCAGTTTTGGTCGAGGAGGTTATGGGAATTCTGGTTCCACCCGTTCCAGCGGCTTCAAGGATTCTTTTGGGCAAATGGGTAGAAATAGCGGAGCTAGCTCTGGAGGTTTTGGTTCTTTTGGTGCTCGTAGCTCAAACAATGCAGGAAATTTTAGCTGGTCGGGGTCTGGTCGTTCTGGCGGGTTTGGAGATTTCGGTAATTCAAGTCGATCGGGTGGCTTTGGGGATTTTGGTTCAGGTCGTAGTTCAGGATTTGGTGACAGAAATTCCAGAAACTCTGGCTTATTCGGTGGTGACAACAAATATGGAAGCGAATGAGAGCACCGGAGAAGGTCATTTTGAACTAAATTGGTGAGTGGCGTTCTTTATTAGAATTTTGAGTTTTTCAACCTCAAGAGGGTGATTACTATGATTTTGCTAACTTATTTCTCAGGGTCCATTAGAGAACTGGTTTTTTTGACATGCATCTGCTTTTGTGCAGGTGAGACATCACAGGGAAATAATTGCCTTGGATTAATGACGAATTTCCATAAATCAGGGATTTTTTTGAGGTAGTAACGAATGGCATGTTTCTTGTATTTTCTTTTGAGATTTCATATATTTTTGCAGTTGATACAAATGTAGTAACCACTCTGAAACAAAATTAACCTCAATATTAGCAACCATATTATAGTATGGTCTCATGTATAAATTGTTTTTAGATATATTTTCATAGTTATATTCTATTATTTCTCTTATTTCTTAAACGATGTAACTATTGATTTTCGTATTATTTTGATGCATGAATTTAGCTTCTTCACTAAAGCACATATAATTTCCATTACGATTTTATTATTTGAGTTATGCTTAGGTGAACTGTTAGCAGTTTTTCCTTTTTTGAGTTCTAACACCATACCATACAAGACTAGGAGTAGGGATTTGAGTTTCTGACCTTTTGGTTATGTGTCTCAATTAACTAGCATAATAAGATTACTAGCATAATAAGATTCTTATCTCGAATGGATAAAAAAGAAAAAAATTAAAAGTTAAATTTGAAGCAGGAAGAATATTGTATCCATTTACCTTGTAGCAAATGTTTTAAGTGGATTTTTTGACAAAAAGGAAAAAAGATTATGATCATAGTAAAGAGTTTTCAGTTACGATTGCCCACAGTTTGTAGGTTTGAATTTTGGTGAGTTTGATAGGGGTAAACAAATAAATCTGAAAAATCGATCAAATCAACGTCGATTGATTGATTTAGACCTAGGGTCGATCGATGTTGATTTTTTAACGTATAAAATTGAGATGGTGGATAGGAATCTCCTCTTCCCCGTCGTCTCCCTTTCTTTCCAATTTTCTCCGTCTTTCTCTTCTTCCATTTCTCACTCTCTTGGTCTCTTTCCCTCTTACATTTCTCTTATTTCAATCATTCAAGCCACTCTGCCTTCGACATTCTTCAAAACTTGATCGAAATCGACCCACCCGACAGCAATTAGCCATATGTATAAAGCTTAAGAAATGTTTAGTTCTCGATCAACTAAATCGAATAGTCGGTTTTCGTCAGATTTGGAAAAACTAGCATGGACTGGCTGATGTTTGCCCCTACCAGAAGTTATCAAAATTGTTCAGAATTGCTTCGCCTTTGGATTAAAATATTATGTTGTTATAACGTTTGACTTTTGCCCTATCTAGACCTGTCACCTGTAGCAACAAATTGTTCCATACAACAAAACTTTATGTTATAATGTTCCAATTCTCTCTAGACCGTACCAATATCCACCATCATAATGAAGGGATGGAGTCTACAATTTCAGGTGGCAAAAAAATTAATGTTTATCTGGAAATGGAACTAAGAATGCCAGCTTAAAAGAGCAAATTCCACAATGGGTGAAGATAGCATTTTTTTTTTGTTTTTTTCTTTTTTTTTTAATGCAAGCTTAAAGAACAAATTCCATAATGGGTGAGCAATTTTTTTATAGTTCTACAGATAAGGGTTTCAAACTTTTGACGTTTAGATAAAAGATATGTCTAATTAACTTAGTTATAGTGGTCAAATTCTTTTCATTTCCAAAAGAGAAATCTACAGGTGGAGAAATATAGATATGGAAAGGTTGGATATGAAATCTTGCTGAACATTTTTCCCCTTTTAAAATTTTAATTTTAGTTTGAGGGGCTCGCATCTGATTAGCTAATTGATGATTGATGAGGTAATAGATCATCGAGGCGGGAAAAATAAATAAATAAAAATATAGATTAGAAAAGATAAAATAATGTATGACAAGACTGGAGAGAAGTTGACTACTGGTTTGTTAAGCCACCAATAGATGCCTAAAGACGACACTGCCTCAAAAGCTTCAGATTTAATTTGAAATTTCTCACCAAAAAATTATTGAAGACTTAAAGCTGCTATAATAAAACTCTTGAGCTTTTGTCTGTCGAAACAGTTGGAATTCAGAAAGAACCTCATGTTCATTTTCTACATGCTCACAATAACATGTTAATTCCGACACAGTTTTCCATCTCATTCGCAGAATTGCCACTAAAGAATTAAAAGAAAAAAGAACAAAAAAAAACCTTCAAAATTCAGTGGAACTATAGCACTTTCCTATGGAAAAAACGGGAAAAATTGCAACTATATACTGTTGAAAGAGGACCAGAAATGTATCTATATCAGTACATTATTGGCACTCCTATACCTTTCAAGGATTGAAAAGTTTTCTGAAAGGTCCATCTTTCCTGTCTTTTGCAGCTTCAGTGAGAGCCAGGAATCTTTTGAATCCTGTGGTGGCAGCTCCTCGTCCTAGTGCGGCTGCTCTGGTAAGAACATCCTCCCTGGACGCCATGACCCCGACCGAAGCAGGACTGGAAATTGTTGGAGCTGGAGGGGTGCTGGTGACGATGTGTGGAGCTGATGGTGAAACCGAAGGCTGCATGATCCCTGGCCCGTGTTTGTTGAAATCGTCGAGTATGCTTTGCTGATCAGCTTTTTTAAATCCCTGTATGAACCATTATATGATTCATGCAACACAAGCACAGTTATTTCATCAGCTTTTGTCATAATTAATTCATAAGCTGATAATTTTCGACTTAAAATGTTGCGAACACGATAAAATACATTGCACAAAGCATGGTACTAATGCATGAGCGTGCTTTTCTATTTGATGTGTAACTCTCCTAGAGAAAATCTTGAGACCTTGATCTGGAAAATAATCCAACAACAGAAGCCCTCCAGAAATTGACAGAACAATTTGAATATATTATAGCAGATAACATTTTCTTTTCTTCCAAATACAGCGAGACTGAATTTCTCATCGGACCCTTATTTTTCAATTTCCAGGAATATGATGGGCCTACGGTTGGTTCGTGCAACTTTGTTCATAAAAATCATTTCCAACTAAACTAGAAGTACAAAAATCCTGAATGATCCATTTCGTGGTCAATTTCCAGGAATATGATGGGCCTACGGTTGGTTCATGCAACTTTGTTCATAAAAATCATTTCCAACTAAACTAGTAAGTACAAAAATCCTGAATGATCCATTTCACGGTCAGATTCTTTGGGAAGAATATAAACGTGAGTGATGAAGTATTAGATATTCCAATCTCAAGAGACTAATTAAAGACTTGAATAATGGTAACTAAGGGACCGTTTGATAATATTCTTGTTTCTTGTTTTTATTTCCTTCTTTTTAATAAAGAAAAGTAGAATTGCATGGCCCCTAATACCCATGATGAAAGAATAATCAAACAAGATTTTTATTTATATTTGAACAAATTTCGTATCTTGTTAAAAAATATATATATATATATTTGAATAAATTGGAAATGGGAACCAGCCAAAGAAGCTTATTTTCGTTATTTCTAAAGTTTCTATATAGTTTTGAGAATGTTTCTAAAAATGAGAGACAAGAAACATAAATAGTTGTCAAATACTTAGATTTCTTAATAAAATTGAAAAGGAGAAACAAAAAACAGGAACGTTACTAAACGGATCCTAAGTGATCATTTTATTTTTTGGTCATGGTCAATGAGTCATGCACTAAATCAATAATCATGAACTGTTGACATTTTAGGTAAAACTTCATAAAATATGAACAAAGGGACGAAGCAATAATGTAACCTTAAGTTCCAAAATTCGCTGAAACTCCATTGGCGTTCCTTCTGGCAATAGTGCACGATATGTATCTGCCACAGAATCGATGGGAGAAAGTATAACCTGTGCAACAAAGATTGGTACCGGTCAGGATATTTAGGGGAAACTTTAGTAGACTTGAGACTTTTGGTTGATTGTCAGTTAGAGAATTATTAGTATCAACCAGCTTGCAGCCAGATTTCAGGGAAGATTACAGGATTATTATTTTAATAGCATCAATAAAAGCAGTTCTTTAAGAAATTTGGAAAGATAAAAGCAGAATCTTTAAGAAATTTGGAAAGATAAAAGTAGGAGAATTTGAAGGATAAAGGTGAAGAGTGACAGGTAAAGGAGAAGTGTGTATCTTGATGAATCCCCATAATTGCTTCCATTACCAAAGCTTCCCCCTGTTTTTATCAGTTGCTTCCAATCGGATAGCTTTTTCAAAGTTCTCTTGGCCTCTAACTTGAGATACCATTTTGAATTTAAAGGAAATGGAAAGAAATCAACAAGTACGTCGAGACATTGATTACAAACCTTCAAAAGCGCTTCAGCTTTGCTCATCTCACGACTTACAAATTTTGAATAGCTCGCAGCTCCTGAAGTCTGTGAGAAAGGAAAAAAAATGAACCAGTCAGTAAGTAAATTCATTGAACCTTTATGAGAAAGAACCCATTTTTTAGAACATATAAATTTTAATAATAAAACAAGTCGTGAAAAAGAATACTCATCAGTAACTTTTAAGTGCAGTTAACTACACTAATCATGGTAAAAAATAATTTCAATAAAATCAAAGCAATGGCATAGTATTTGCTTGTGTCAGCAAGCTAGTTATGAGCATGCCCAAGATAAGATGAAACCATGAAAACTAGAAAAGAAATCCAGAATAGGTTCGTGGTTTAAAGACAAGGCAAGAGTCTTATGGTCAAATGCCTCGAGAACTCTTATTTTGCTAAGTTGGAAGGAAAGAAACCTTAAAATTTTTTCAGATAAGTCAAATTCTTTTTATTTCTTGTGTGATCTTGGACAATCACGGTTTCAAATGGGGGTGACTTGCACAAATCTTTTTAACTTCTCTTTTTTTACCATCAACCTATGTTGGATGTCTCTTGTTTGATTCCTCCCCTTAGATGTGGGGGCATCTTTCCCCGCATCCTTTAGGCTGTTTTTTTGTTTGTTGTTCTGAATTGAAGTTTCTTTCGTTTCAGAACAAAAAAAGAATCCAATATAGGAAACGATGTAGGGAATAAAAGATAACTTGAGATTCATGCAAGATTAGTTATTATAATTCTGAACATACCTGTCGACCAAGGGATGGAATATCAAGAAGAATTGTTTTCACAGCTTGAGTGTCCAACAGCATCTGTACAAGCATTCAAATATTACTTTTGATATGTCAAAATGTTTGACTTTAGTCAAACCCATATCCTTCTTATCAGCAAACACTTGACGTATATAAATCACTAAATGATGACTTCGTGAAGAAGTGGCAAAATGGATAGTCTGTCTCAAGTCTGTCTCATCTACTTACGCATTTTATCATCCATGGTCTGTGAAAAGTTCTTCCCACTTTTCTTATGCTCCTAGTTGAGCT